AATCTACTCAAAGTGATGAATTAAGGAAGGGTTGAACTTTGGAAATTCACCAAGATGTTCTTGTTGTTGCACTGTCAGCCAGTTGTCCTTCACAAGGGATGATTATGCCTTCAGGATATACTGGGCAATGTCTAGGGAAATTCTGATTTTTACAAATGGCAAGGTTATATGGCACCAGCATAGTGGAAGCCAGGGATGCTGCCCAACCTCCTGTGATGTACAACACAGCAGCTAGCACGGAAGTGTTATGTAGCACAAATGATGACAATGGTGAGACTGGCAAATACTTCCAGACGATAACTTCTGCAACCTCAAAGTGAATCTAAAAATTAGGAACCTTGTTCAGATACAGGAACCTTGCTCATGACTGGAAGCTCCAGGTTGGCCTGTGACTCACTTGCAGTGGATATTGATGTTATCAGTGCTGGTGTGTGGACCACTCTGAGAGATTAAGATTGTGATGTGGATAGTACCGCAATGGATACAGAAGCATAAGAGTCCCTTTGAGATACTGATTCCATTTCTCTTTGGTATCCAAGTGGTAGTAAGGCTTGTGGGTCCACTGGCATTGCAATATTATATACTAAGGCTGTGGCCCAGTGTCAGAATCAATTTAGGCATTTTGAGGCCATTCCAATTGGAAATTCTTTCACTCAGCTAATTTCTTATTTTAAGTGGTCAAGTGGTAGATTCAGTAGCTTATAAATATGTATCTAACTATCTACCCATGTCAAAAACCAAATGACAAACAGCAAACTTAGTGGAAAAAAAAAAAACATTCAACTCATCCTTTACAAGAATAAAATGAAAAGATAAAATAACCCCAATAGAAAGAAAGGGAACCAACGACAGGAAAATGATATGACAAGGATAAATCAGTGCATACTAGTTATAACCACCAATGTAAATGATTTCAATTCACTAATCAAAAGAAACAAATTGACAGAAGAGATCAAGAGCGAGATCCAGTAACGTGCTGCAAAGAAGAAACACATTTAACCCAAAAAGAAATTCAAAGACTGAAACTCAAAGGATAGAGAACAACACTTCATGCAACAGGCATCTGAAAGAAGGCAGGAGTAGCTATTCTACTTGAAGGTAAAATGGAATTCAAGCCAAGACTGATCAAGAGACAAAGAGGTCACTACATAACTGTTAATGGAAAAATCCAAGAAGAAAAGATAACAACCGTAAATATATATGCACCAAATACCAGTGCACCCAACATTAATGGATGTGAAACATCAAATAAACACTAATATAACTATCATGGAGGACCTCAAAAACACCACTGTCAAAAATAGACAGCTAAACTAGACAAAAAATTCAACAAAGAAATATCAGAACTGAACCAAAACTTTGAATAAATGGATTTAATAGATATCTATAGAGTGACCCACTCCACAAGAACAGAATACACATTCTTCTCAGCTACACATGAGACTTTCTCCAAAATAGACCACATACTAGCTCATAGAACATGCTTAAGAAAATACAAAGGAATTTAAATTATCCCATTCATATTATCAGATCATAGTGCATTGACATTGGACGTCAGCGGCAAAAGAAACCACAAGAACTACATAAACATGTGGAAATTAAATAACACCCTCCTGAACAATCAATGGGTCAGAGATGAAAGAAGAAATTAGACAGTTTCTACAATATGATATGATGGAATTTATGGGACACAATAAAAGGAGTCCTGTGAGGGAAACTTATGGCTGTGAATTCCCACACTGGAAAAACAGAGCAAAGCTTAAATAAATATTCTAATTTTGAACCTCAAGTTTCTAGAAAAAGAAGAGAAGGTTAAACAAAGTAAATTCAAGGGAGGAAATTATAAAGATCAAAGTGGAAATTGCAAAATTAAAACTAAGAAAACAATACAAAGAATCAATGAATCAAAGATGTATTTCTTTGGAAGATTAAATAAAATTGATTAAAAAAACCGTTAGCCAACCTTATCAAAAAAGGACTCAAAAATACACAATTAAGAATGAAAGGGTGAATCACAATAGATCCAGCAGAAATCCAGAAAATCATCAATACCTATTATGAGAACACCTTTTTGTACTCTAATAAGAAGGAAAAAGCAGAAGAAATAAACAGATTCCTTGATACATATGAATTAGCAAAACTGAATCAAGAAAATACAAAAATTCTAAATATCCCCATATCAGTCAATGAAATTGAAGAAATAACCTCAAAAAAAAACTACCAAAAAGAAAAGCCCAGGTCCTGACAGATTCACTATTGAATTCTATCAGAAATTTAGAGCTCTAATGCTACTACTCCTCAAACTCTTTAATGAAATTGAAATAAAAGTACTACTCCCAAATTCATTCGTAGAAGCAAGCATTACTCTGATACCAAACCAGGGAAGGATCCAACTAAGAAAGAGAACTATAGGATAATCTCCCTAATGAACATAGATGCAAAAATTCTCAATCATATACTGCCAAACAGAATGCAGCAAATCATCAAAACAATAACACACCATGACCAAGTTGGAGGCATCCCACAGAGCAGACATGGTCCAACATACATAAATCGATAAATGGAATACACCACATTAACAGAACCAAGGACAAAAACCACATGATCATTCCAATAGACACAGAGAAAGCATTTGACAAAGTTCAACACCAATTCATGATAAAA